TAAACATTTACCTGTTTTTTTTGGGAATTAGAAATAATTAAATTCATAATAACCATTTCCATCACTTGTGGTTCTTAATGGTGCATCTCCAAATCAAATGTTTCTCTTCTGGCAAAATCATCCTGGCGTCTGTGGAAACCTGAAAAATCCGTATGAGGTGACTGGTAAATGAATCAGAAACTTATAAGAGGTCAAGGTTCAGTGGGAATCAAACTGAATACATGTTAGATACACAGCAGGGTGTGTTGTTTCACTGCAGTCCTCCTGCAGTGAATCAACACGAACTCTGGTGGTGCAGCCAAGTTTTCTGAACATCAGCAAAATCATCATAGATTCTTCACGCTGGTCAAAGTAGTCGCTGGAATTTGTCAAATGGAGTCTAAGAGGGCAGATACACTTATAAGGTTTGGGTTTATATTTGTCCAGGACTGCTTGTGCAACCAAATCTTGTCCAGCATGCTTTGCCATATCAGAATAGTAACAGAGATATTCTATACTATTACTGACAAGTTCGGCTTCACATAGTGAGTTTTAGGTGCCAGGTTTATACACTATCCACAATATTCCGTTCCAACGCCATAATGGCACCTGATAATTTTAAAACTGCTGAATAAACATGTCTCATGTAGGCCACTCTTACACGTTTGTATATTTAGCAAACGCACGTTTTTTTTCTTCTCCCCCAAGCAGACAAACAAAAATGTCACTATGAAACTGTGAGATGAGACAACGGCCTGCGTCGGGGCAGGGGGCACGGCAAGTGCATGACATGGCGTTGCTGATTGCTGGCAGTTGAGTTACACGCTGGCGTAACTCAACACTAATCCACAGCTGATCAGCAGTGGAAACAGTACAAACTGACCCAAGGCAAACTGGGGCACCTGCCTGCACTCACACTGCTAATGTGAGACCCCGACCAAGACACTTTGATTTCATGCCTGGTCTTCTCCCCCCGGATCTCATTATGAGAAGGTCACTGTGAGGCCACCGCATGGGGGGGGGGGGGGGGCGTTAAACACAGATGAGACGACAAACCATCACAGATACATACAAGTGAACATGAGACTGGAATTTTAAACATTCCTGAAAGACAAGTGAAAATCTTTGCATCCATCAGTTCAAATCCAAGTGTAGATTTAATGTCAGTGCAACCGTATGTTCCATAATGAGAGGCTGAGTGGAATGATGTTGTGCAGCATAGTCGGTGGTGTATAGGGGTATTATGTTTTTAGCATCTGCCAAGGAGGCTATGTTTTCATCTGTGGTTTGTTAGCAGGATTATGCAAAAATGACTCACCCAATTTCCATGAGATTTGTGGAGGGGTTCGGGATCATCCAAGACAGAATCCATAAAGCGTTGTTGTGGATCCAGATCAGGGGGCAGATCCTTAAAACATTGCGAAATCGGGTACTTTTCCCCCGAGAATAATTCATGGCTCTCGATGAAAAAAATCTGCCATGTTTAGGGGACTGATATTTATGAGTGTGCCTTGGCAGATGTATGAACTCTATTGATTGCCATTCTAGTTTAGTGTAGTATATATGAGGTGAGGTCTCTGGTGAAAAAGCCAAAAATAATAGACATAAACAAACTTTAATTTAACAAGGCATAACATCTTTATTGTTATACACATAACTTGATCTCCAAAGACTTTGCACAAATCAGTGGGGTAACATGAACCTTGAGATATCAAAAGTCTCCCACAGTTCCTCGTTATGTCCTCAAATACTCAAACAAGTACATCTGCCTTTCATATCCCCATAATGGTACATACAGTACAACCAATTAGAAATAAAAGTACTTTTTTTCCACTGTCAAACATTATCATATGTGCATTTACGTTACCAATTACAAACAAGTTATATCCATTGTCAAAATACAGGTGTGCAAATTGTTAGAAAAATACCAACTCATACCAGATTCTGGATTGTGCTCTGTAAAAATCCTTACAAATAGTATATAATAATCTATATATAAATGTCTCCGACATGCAATGTTGCATTTCAAAAAAATATCCCCCCATAAACAGACTGTTCTCTTAAACCCTCTGAAACTCCAGTCCTCACGATGCTCGTGTGAAGACGTGGAAAACAAAGAAAAACGAGGGCAAAGAAGGGCGAAGAATTAGATGTTCAGTCATTTGTTTTCTTGGTCTGCTTTTATTGTATAGATTTCAGTAGTTTTCTGGTAGTTATATATCGACAGTTTGCAGACATCTAACTGGCTGAAACATCCTCCAAAATATACCGTGCTGCAGCAAAGAAACCCACAGCCATATTAAAGCCCTTTTTTATGATTACCAGTGTTCACAAACACGTCATTTGTACAATGAATAAATAATTAATCTTGGTAGTGATGACAAGTAAATGTCAAGCATGTAAATAACCACTTTTTTTTTTAAATCAAAGAAACTCATGCCATACCCGCAACAAAGACTAAACAGCTACGATGAAGCGAGTTAAAAAAGCATGATGGAGGTGATGACAACAGTCAGAGTGTCCCCCCCCACAACACAACAAAGTTAAGACAAGGATGGCATCTCTCCCCCTCGTGTTTCCTCATCTTTTTTCCGAGGTAAACAGTCGTACTGTAAAGACTTTTTTTTTTTTTTTTTCTTTTCTTTTCAAAGGCATCTCTCCTTCTCCCTGCTGCCACATTCCCCATGGCCTCAACCTGAATAAATTCACCTTCAACCATCCACAAGACTGCCCTGATCCAGTCTCATCAGCGTGTAAGCACTGCCGGGCCCACAGAAGCGGCTGCGTGAAATGCATCTATGCATCTATTGTTATATAAAACAACGAAAGCAAAGAATAGAATGAAGGAATTCAAGCAAAAAATGGTCTTGGCATGAAGTAATTTTCCTTCTGATTCAATAAATAACATAAGACATTTGCTACTTCAATCTCAACCTCCTGTCTAAACACAATGCCAGCTGGTAATCAACACTTTGTCCAGTCAGGCATATTCAAATTGTTCAACTAAATAAATTGAACATAGCATTTCTTTTTATAATAGTACAACCCTCTGTTTTAGGCAAAATATAGTAGCTTTACTTTGAAATAATAAAACATATTGCACGTTCAGTAACACGGATGTGTAATGTCAAATTACAACTAGAACTTTTCAAAAACAAAAGGGAAAAATAAATTTATCCACTCATTCTTAGATGAGAAATTTTCAACTACAAGCATTATGACTGCAGGCCACCAACATTCAGAGAACTACGATGAACGAAAAAAGAAGCTACAATAGAACAGAAAACAAACAAATGTTAAAACTGTACCATGCACGGGGAGTGTTTCAAAGCAGTGTATCCTGGGTAACAATGGACGGAGCTCGAGAAAGCTGCGGTAATAATTGGGTTAACCGAGTAAGACTGGCTAGTGACCGTGCTAGCACCGACTGCTGGCGGCGGCCGTGCCCAGTTTTCTGTTGCAAGAGTGGTGTGAAGCCCAGAAAACGCTCCGAACACTCGAGCACGCTCCCGCTGCGACTGTCCTCATTGCCCCCCCCCCCTCCGGTCGGCGGGCTCACATCTCCCCATCAAAACGTCAGATGGCAAAATAGAAAGGCAGCTGTTTGCTCCCGTCATCTAAAAGTGCATCTCCACACTCTTCTCCTCCAGCAAAGTCCGTCAGCCCACCGCTACCTCTGCCATGGCAGTGGGCCACAGAGACCAGTGCTTGGATCAGCACACGAGTGGGTTTCAATTACTTCTTTTTTCAGACTGTGTATGTTTGGTTGCATTTTTTAACTTTTTAAAAAAAATCTCACTAGACACAACATTTCACCTCAGCTTTTAGAGAAGCCAAAGGAGTGCTAATTCACGGGGCTGGCCCTGAAGAAGGCCCATGGCAGGTCGGTGTTAGCGCTGCCTTCCTCCTGATTCTCTTCGGTGTCACGCTGATTCCCAAACACCTACGGCCGCCCCCGTGTCTCACTGGCGCCATTTTCACTTTTCAAGGCCGGCGTTGCAACTGTACCGGTTGCCATGGCTTTACTGCAACATAAAAGATCATTTTGGATTTAATTGGCTGCTTTGCAATTGTCATACACACGTTGTGGGACATAAGACATGAGCTAAGACACATCAACATGACAAAAGCCCATTCGTTCTTCATAGATGTCTGAGAAAATAAAGGAACTTACCAGAGAAACAGCATCATCATGTCAGAAAATGGACAAATATAATTGCAAGGCCAATATTCAACAGCATTACCATAGCAACAAGGATCGAGTTAGGACCCTGCAAAACATGACATGATGATAAAGGTCAGACATCACAGAACAATCTACAACAACAGCATCAGCTCTGTGCTGCAGGTGTCTGTTCACAAATCATGGTTATTAACAATCTGTTGACACTTTGGATAATTCACTGTTTTGATGAAAGAGGAAACTAAAACCGCGCTCTTATCTTCAAGGTAACAAGCTGGAGGCAATACCCTGTTAGCTTAGCTTAGTGCAAAGACCAGGAAAAGGGTCTGGCTCTGTCAAAAAACAAAAAATCCATTGAGAATAAAATCTCAGCACTTTCTCGCTTATAAAACAAACAAATCAATGTTTTGCACACTTGGATTTTATCATTTTTAAAGACAGAATGTGTTGATGGTTGAGTTCAAGCCCTAAAATGCAAATAAGCAACTTTACTAAAATATATCAATCTTTCCTCCAGAAACCTTTCCCCCTGATACTTACTGTTTCTCCGCTGTTTTCTGCGATCTCCATACTGGCTTTCTTTGTGTCTGCGAGGCTCTTTGGCTTTTGGGAATCCTGCTTCCTGAGTTTCTGGTCGCTCTTGCTCTCCCGTATGGAGGCCGGCTTAGGAGTAGGGGTGCTATAGGACTTGGGGGGTTGTGGGGGCATACGTGCCAGGGCCAGGGCACTAAGCTCTTCCTCTACATCCTCCTCAGGGTCCGGGGGCGGAGGGATCCTTGTGGGGGTCTTGACATAGTAACTGTGGTACTCAGTGTGGAGCTGCCCGTTGACTGGAATTGCTGGGGGCTGTGGAGGAGGAGCAGATGCTTGGGTGGGCTGCTGAACCTTAGCGGGTTTAGGTGGAGCCTCGATGTGCACTTGAGAATTTTTGGGGCCATCGGTGACGGGCTGCCTCTCCTCTTTACTCAGCTTTCTGCCAGATCGCTCATCCTTGCTGGTCTTTAGACTTGACTTCTCCTCTTTGCTCGTCTTGCGGGACGGTTTCTCCTCTTTGCTGGTTTTGCGGCTCGTGCTGTTGGCGAGGTGACCCTTTTTCTTGCTGGAGTGGGGTGAGGGGGGAGGTGAGGCTCCAGGACTGATCACAGGGGAGTGGGGAGGAGTCGTACCTTTGCGGTAGAAGTGAGGAGAATCTCTCAGGGAGTTCTCCTTCTTTTCAACAGGGACCTCTTTAATCTCCACGGGCTCCTTTGATTGTTGTTTCACGTAGTCAGGACCTGCAGAGATGAGAGAGGTGACACACATTAACATAACAGATAATCTAGAGGAATAAACTAGATAGGCTCTTTTAGTACCATAATCAACACATTACACATTATACAAGTGTATTGAAATGTCAGAACAATAAATTGTGTTATGAGTCGCTGTATGGAAAGAGACAGACCTGTGTTTCCTTGTGTTTTGCTAAACTAAGCTAATCACTATAGCTTGAAAAATATAATATTTACCTTGAAAATCATTACTTTAAGTTAAATCTATCAGTCTTGTTGCTACACTTCTGTTTTTATACATAATACACAAATGAGATACGACTTTGCACAGATACAGGCTAGCTTTTTCCCGTCTCTATGCTAAGATAGCGTCCCTGTCATGATAAAACACGAGAGGCACATCTGAGTGCCCTGAAATCAGAGGTTCAGACATAGTTCAATGATGACAAATGAGGTTACCACACCCCGAAACCATGTGAATGCTATTCTGAAATTTCTTATCAAGCAACTGGATATACTGCGAGCTACATTTAAACTAAATCTGGCCATCAGCGCTCTCAAATAAAATATTCATGAATCAACATTATATATGCAATCATTCCTTCTTTAGTCCTCTGCAAAGACTAAAGGAGGGAGGGAGACAGTGAGAAATAGATGATTAATGCAGAGTCACAAACAGCATTTCACAAAGGAAGCCTCCTCTGCAGGCTCATCCATATCAACTCAGCACCCGACCAACATGGCCGCACAGATAAAACGTCAACCTGAGGAGCAGGGATGCATCTTTATGTCTGGGGAGGCTCATTCTGACTGTTTCTCAGTTTATGGACTGAGATTCTGTTGCTGTTTCATTATGGACATCATGCAGGACTCTAATGTTTGAACAATAAAGTCTGAATCTGAATGTAAATGTATTTTTGCATGTGAGGAAAAAAAAAATTGCGCTTTATCCCCCCTTTTGTTCTGTAGTGAATTAATATTTATTGGAGACATCAGGCTCTTTGTTTGCCTGTTGTTTTTTTTCACTTCGCCTAAATTAGACGGTGTCAGAGTGACTAAGACAGGGACAATGGTGCTTTGTTTGAAGTGCATCAGATGGTACGAGCAGAAAAGGATCCTCGGCATCTCATGTAGCCAATTTGAATTAGCAATACTAATCTAAAAATTATAGACAAAAGATGTGATTCTGCAGATGTTGAGGGAATGATTTGGAGGACAGATTACAGAGCTCTACCGCTATAATATTATTTCACGCTGGGACATTCAGTATTTGTTGAGTCACTGGGTTTGGAAAAGGCTTCATGTGCCAGATCAATCCAACGGATTTGCGAGACCTCTCTCGTAGCGCACGGCACCTGTACGCCCATTAGGATTGCGCGCAGTAATTCAAAAGAAAATAATTAATATTGATTTAGATTTCACACTCATCACTTCTTGGAGCAATTATGCAAACACTGCATCCAGAAGGGGACAAGTGCATCTCCCCCCACACCAGCGTAAACAGCGTGACCGTGTAATCTTTCGGGGCCTCGGTACGCGTAAGCCCAAAGTATTTTTCGGCCGCATGGCATTCCTAATTTGTTTCATAACTGCCACGACCAATAAGACCCACTACAAAGACACGGGGGGACATTTGGACATCTGCAGGGCTTAATGTATCTGCCGAGCTTAATTTCACACCATAACTCAATAAGAGTCGGGGCTTCGTGGGCGGGCCCCGAGCAGTTTCGCTGTGTTTGTGGATGGAATCCTGCAGGGGGGTTCCAAGCATTTTCTGAATGGTTCTCTCCCAGTCTCTCTCTCTCTTTCACACACACACAGTACTTCCACTACAGACATGTTAAATCCCACAAACCCCCAAGAATTCACATTATATTCCACAAATTAAAGTGTTTTCATAATTTCATTAAGAAAACTGAACTGCAAATGGAATATACCATATATATTATTGGAACTTTTGCGTGGTTGTTTTGTAGATATGTGAGCATGTGAGGATCCTCTTGTGGAGACTGAGTGAAGATTTATTATACGTACTCTACCGAGGAATCCTGTTAGGTCAGCTGGAACATGTACTGGGGACTCAATTACCCAAATAGCTGTGGTGTTTCTTTCATCTGAGCATTGAGTCTGTAGCCTTCCAAAGAGGGTCACTAAAATAGGCCAGGGATGGTATTAGTCATGACCACGACAAAAATAATTGACACAAACTCAAATAAGAACAAATAAAAATATGGAATACGGCATTGTCAAATACCAATTATGTGTATACAACAATACTTTCATCATTACCAAGACAAGCTTAGCTGCACTTTACTGTATCTCTCATCATTGTGTCTTTGAGATTATTAGAATTCAGGCTTTTGTTTATGCTGTAGGTTGCCAGTTCTGTTCATGTTAATCCATAGCACATTTTCTGCTCTGGTGCACTCTGAGCAAAACACACACACACACACACACACACACACACACACACACACGCACACGCGCACACGCACACACACACACACGCACACACGCAGCCATATACTAAACATGACGGATCGGCTGTTTGAGCCCCAGTCTAACCCCTGCTGACCTTAATATGAGATAAACAGCAGTAACATGAGGGGGAGCTTCAATGAGACCTGAATATGTGTGTGTATGCGTGTATGGGAGGAAGTAGTACAGTGTCACACATCTGCTGCCACTGTACATCAGTCTGGATTCATATCAGTAGTTTATAATCTAATCTTCTTGGCCCCAAAGTTCAAAGGCTGTGCAGCATCCTTGGCCCAGTAGGAAATATATTTCTGTCACCATTCAAATCTTTTTTTTCATGAAGAGCTGACAATCAAACACTGACCCGAGGCGTCTGTTGCTGGTGTTTTGTCTTTACATGCTCGTCAGATGCACAGAGCAGGACAGAAATATACAGTTCCTACGGCAAAGTGTTTGCACAAGCATGAGTCTATGTCACTTATAATTAATTGTATTTCTTCCAAGGGGTATAGTGAAAAGCATTTGCATTTTCCAATATTGTGTTTGTGAGGCATTAGATTATTTTCTTATGTATTCATAGACTCAGCTTGTTCTCTACACTTTTTATGTTTAAGATTCATGACTCAATTTGTAGCTTTTAGATTTTCTCTATCTTCCTCCTACACACACTGGCAGATGGGCAGGGGGGCGGGGGATTACATCCACCACTGTAGCACGCACAGAAACTCATACATTTGTACTAATACACACACGTGCAAATAAACTATCATCTGTGTAATCACTGTCTTCCTGTTCTTTGTTTTTAAGTGGCCACATGCAAAGACAAACATGGAAGGCCTCACATGAACTGATGTGTAATTGATAGAGACACGACTCGCTGGAAGATGCTGAGCCGGATGAGGAAACATCAGCAAACACTGCAGAGTTGTTCCACCGCACACAAATATTACATATAATAGATACAGACACACTTGTTTCCAAATACTGAACAAAAAGTTACACTTTCTCAAGTCCCACTTTCTGTCATGTTGCTTTCAGACATGCACTGAACTCTGGACATTTTCCTGAGAATATCCAGAGGGACTGTATGTGAAAACGCAAATGTCTAGGAAAATTTCTTCAGGGATTTTCCGGGAACTTTTCCAGCCAGCCCCCTGGTAAAATGTCCGGATAATGTCCAAGGACGAAAAAGATGTGCCACGCATGTAGAAATCAACTTGGAAAGACAACAAGATACGCTAACACATAATTGCAGCAGAATCTCTACATCACGTCCTGCCTCCTGCATGTTCCTCCCAGGCACCATCTGAATGTCCTGGACATTTCTGTCATTGTGAACGTATCTGACCTGGACAATCTCCTGCTGCTTTCTTCATATGTGAAATGCAAACTTTGAAAAATGTCCAGAGTAAATTTTTCCAGATTTTCTTCTCTTCGTGCAGTGAGACCTTTGAAGTTACTTCATTTAATTACATTTTTTTTAAATAATGACAGTTTCAACAAAAAGAAAATGATTTTGAAATCTGTCAGGGATCTGATTAGCAGTTTCTTCACATCATTTATATTCTTTATCCTTGAAAGTAATGAGACATTTTAAAATAACTCTTCACAGGCTTGAAACGTATGCCTCGACACCTGCTGCTGTGAATATAAAGCAGCACCTGCTCATGTCTGGCTCTCAGCCCTGACAGGTCCAGGCTTTTATGGTTCCACCTGGTCTCAGTGTACCTTGACTGGGTCAAACAGGGCGGGACAGGACCCCCCCCTCCTCCAGTCACCGACTGAAGGAAGGGACAGCTGCTCTCCGACAGCCCCGGTGAGCGTGGGGGCCGAGCTCCTCTCAGTACGTAAGGATTTCAGCTATGTCTCCATTAGACCCCGGCGAGCACACATCAGCACCAAATATAGCCCAATTAACGTCACAGCCACAGGCCACGCCCAGCTAACCCTTGCTGCTGCCCCTCCAGGGTGCTGTGTGTGAACCAATCATAAAGGTCAGGGTCCCGTTCCCTGTGACCCCGTCCTTCCTTTTGAAGTGTACACTCCCAATCTGGGTGATAATCTGCTATGAGTCTGAAATGCCAATTACAAACAACAAGGGGTTTAGACTCCTGGTTGTTACCCTAGAGGACTTGTTAGAAGCGGAGGGACGGAGGTAAGTGAGAATATTTCCACTGTGGACATGGACGTTGAGGAAGCAACTCAGATTAGTCCGGGAAAGTCAAACAGATTCCCCATAATGCTGGGATTGACTTTGACATTCAGACAGACAAGGTGATCAGCAAAGAACAAACTTGATTCTGCACTCACTTAGTTCAGTTTTTTTTCAAACTATACAGTTATTTCTCCCTCAGTGATGATCTTGCCAGGAAGCTGCAAATAGGGGAACATGTTTACACTCAATATGATCTAACCTGCCACAGGATAAACTGTGAACCAGCAATAAACACACAAAGTAGGCCATCCTGGATTTCCCAGACTGCTCTTACTGCTTCTCCTGTAATAATCACATTTACATAGTACAAAACAAAGACTTCCATAAACTAAAAATAAAATTATGTGCAGAATACATTAAACGGAAAATAGATTTGGCTTATTACAGGTGCCTGTATGGCTCACCTAGGCTTACCAGATGCATGCTTACATAACTGCAACGTTAAATTGCGCAGCTCAGATATCACCCTGCATTGCACATTATTATGACATCATCCACTCTCTCATTCATGATCCGACTTATAAGGCAAGAACACTCTCCACGCAGACGTGTGAACGTGGAGATCACCCGGCCTGCCAAGCATGACCACTGTTTTCCACAACACAAACAGGCCGCGGGATGTCTCTGGCCCTGGGGCGCGCCATTTCTGTGGCTTAGTGGAGGGACATGCTTGAATGGGGTCCCATTGTCAATCTATTTGTCACCCACTATTTTGTGGTGGCCTGTGGCGAGGACCCAAGGTCGATTAGCTCACAGGACTAAATATAATACACGCAGTTGAAGAGGAAAGGCTGGTATACATCTTACATGGCAAATAAAAATAAACAAAAACTGTGCGATTTTGCAATTTCACAAGAGGTTTTGAGTAACATATAAAAGAGCCTGTATCCTAATAACAACTTTAACACAGTTTGAAGTTAATTCAAATGATTCTAAAAATGTGTCTGATCTGGTTTGTCGATAAATGCTTGATTAAGTCTTAAAGTTTTTTGCAGGGACAAATTCTTCTCAATTCATATGTGAAAATAATAGAAACATTTGAATTGTTCCTATAGTCTGATATTGGCCTTAGGTTCCACCTCTGACCCCAACTGGCATACTGCTGTTTCACCAAAAAGGATCTCACACTATTTATGCAGTACGACATGTGCAGCATTTCCTTGTAAAACTCAGCTTACCCAGTAAATGAACTACACAGAGTTGAGTCGGAAGCCTACGCTGTGACCTGCTGCATAGTATGGCAGGGTGCCTGCTGAAGCTGCAGGCAGAAGAAAGCTGAGAACTGCTCGATATCAGGAGCAGGAGCCCTCTCCTTCACCCCTCACACACCTGTAAGCTATTTCTAAGTTTAATATGATAGGAAAAAAAACACCATTAAAAAAACAATATCTCACTCCCACCCTTTTCTCAGCTGTTACAACCGGCCTTTGACAGCAAAGACAAGGCTCCTATCCAGAATACAGTAGTGGGCTTCCAGCTTTGTCCCGGCACAAACACAGTCCTCCATTGTGGTGTTAGAAATCATCCTCAGTATCTCTTGTCTTCGGCCCCGCAACCACAAAACCCTCTGCTTTTGTGCACCCAGAACAAGCTCATTACAGACTCCGAGCAAGCCTGTGTAAACAACTCTAAAACTGTGCAAACATTATTCATACAATGTGCCCAGCGTGGTCTGAGTGGACAAAGTGGTTGCTTGAGGATGCTGTAGCTAACAAAAGGGATAGTGGAGGTGAGGGGTGGATATTAGATCGCTGTGGCTGGATAAATGCAGCACTGTTGGGGGTGAACCCCTCATGAAGCCCCCCTCAAGGACACGCCTGCATATTCATCTCTGGGTCAGTCATGTCCACAATGTCTGAAAACCTTGTCTAACATGCTTGCACGCAAATTAGGCCACTTGAAATAGTTAAAGGATTGTGTTTCACCAAGTGCAGTGGACTGACCCTTCAGTGCTTCTGTGGTCTGAGTTACTGGGACAGTGGGAAAGTGTGTGGGGAGAGTAACGTTTCAGCTACTTGGAGAGCACATACTCGTAGAAGCTTATGCTTAAAGGTTACCTGGTTGGTAGAAGTTGGGGGAGAGCTCCCTGGCAACCGCCCTGGCAATTTCAGAGTCGTGCACAGCAGAGACAGCGGCCTGGTCCGCAGCCTCGCTTTTTGTCCTGGCATGGGCCGTTCTGCAGAAACACAAACGGGACAATATTCAAGTCAATAATGAGGATGGAAACCAGTGTGGTAGAATAAAACATGGAAACATTCATGAACACATATTTCAAATTTTTCTATAAGAACTCAGTGTATAAGTTTTATCTCTCTCTCTTTCTTCTCCTCCTCCATCCCACCCTTCCTCTCTGTCCTCATCTTTGAGCTGTAACACACAGCCCATCCCTCCCCCTGTGCTTCTATCTCAAATCCAAATCCTGATTTTCCAAATGGAGCGCAGCCACATCCAAGCAAGACCTTAATCCAGTCTGGAGCACTGCAACTGCTGCTGGTCCACCAGGGAGCAGAGACCCAAAGGCATAACCATGGATACACATGTATCGCCTTGTATCGTAAAGTCACGCATCATATGCCTGTCAGGCTGATACTGTAGCAAAAGAATATTGATAAACCTAAAAATGAAAATGCTGTGGGAAGTCTAACATACTCACTTGGAAGTACTTTCAATTCCTAATCTATGACCGTCCATCTAAAAATGACGACACACCCACGCACCAGAATGAGCTTGGGTTCACATCTGCTGAGCTATGCTGATGCTCAAAAACGGAAAAGGCAGAAGAGTAATGTGTTTTGGGATCAATGTGAGCTTAGCGTTAGCACTGAGAGGCATTATGGGTGCGTACCATGGTGAGACAGACAGAGGCTGGGTGGTGACCTGCTTAACAAATCCCTTGAAAACTCCACCAGGAGATACAGACACGTAGTCCCACTGATCATGCAAACACAAAATATAATAATGACACCTGTGACCCCAGGAGAACTCGCCGCTGCTGCCTTCGAGGCCAAATCATGCAGTTATATGACATGCATCAGTTAAAGCCAGTGGATGAGTCACTTCATGTATGAGCAGATACTGAGACGACAGCAAAATGCTCCAACAATACATGACAGTGCAACATTGACTGCCGGGATCCAGAGTTTGTCCGAGTGTACTGTAAGTATTGACAGCTGTGCCTCATGCCCTGCTTAACCCAACTCATCCATCTTCCTCTCCCTCTTTCTTTCAGCATCCCTTCTCCCTTTCAATCAAAGCCCCTGTTTTTTTTCATCCTTTTCCATCCAGCTATTGACGTTGCCTCCCCTCATCCCTCACTCCCCTCCTCCCCTCCCTCTGTCTTTCTGTCTGAGTGACCCCAAAGGACAGATGTCTCTATTTCAGACTGCTCCTCTGTCCTTGGACTCCGGGCTTGTTTTTGATGGGCTCGGACAGTGAGATATTAAAATGCATGAGAAGCCATATGCCGGTCGGAGAGAATGGACCGTTTTTTCCTCTCCAGAAATAAGTTGTTGCCTCGACCGCAGCAGACAGAGGACACACTCAAGACAGAGGACAGCAAAGTCTCTGGAAGACACTGACCAGCTGCAGATTCGAGAATTTAAAAACAGCCACAAGTATAACACACAATTCTTTGCTTCTTGACATGAACTATTACAGATATGTAGGAGCTGACATTAAAGCATTCCAGTTACATCACACCGCTGACATGTATACCGCAGACATCCCCTTGCCACACATGCTACAACAAGGACGTACATGTGTCTATTTCTGAAATGTGTGAAATGTGTAGCTGAATGAAAGGAGGCATGAATGAGTCATAAATGCGCACAGCGTGCACCGCGACGTATTCCGAGGATCTTAATAGTTCCCTTTAGGTGGAGCGGGCATTATGGAAGTCGTGGACAGAGTCAGGAAGCGACGTCGGCTGTTCCCAGACAGGATGTCTGGTGGTGAGAGGTGACAGGCAGAGAATGATGGGGGCAGAGGAGAGGTGTGACAGAGCAGTGGGACAAGAGGAGAGTGCAATGGAAGGCGAGAAAACATGGGCATGTGCATGAAGAGGAAAGGGCTGGTTGGTTTCTCTTCCTGGCATCAGTAAATTCTATCTTGATGGCTTTTAATCCAGCTATTGAGGAATGCTGGTGTCTTGGCGTCCAGGTCCTGAGGGTAATATCACTAACTAGCTGCTAACTTGCTGTTTGGCAGAGCGGCCGACTACGAATGATCCCTATCACATTACAAGTAGTAACTTAATCTATTCTTAATTAAAAAAGATGTTGATATTGTTGTGAGTAGCCCACACACTGGCATCAACACAACATGCTTTGACAAAGAGACAAAATACATACATACACATTTTCTAATATTGAATTGTCTTAAAGACAAATTCATGGTAAAAAATCTGGGTAAACAACAAAATAAAAGCTCATAATTGACCTTTGGAAAGGTTCTATAACTTGTCAGAGATTCTGCACCCTCCCTATTTGATGCCCATCTGAATATAAAGCAACACCTGTTCATGTCTAGTTTTGGGCTCTGCAGGGGCGCTGCTCCAAGAAAGTCAAGCACCTGCTGATGCACACAAACACACACAACAGTTTGTAGAAAATTTTGATAAAGAAGAAGGGAGCAGGGACTTTAAAGCCATTCCTTCTGGACTGAAGCATCGTTTGAGAGATGAGATTGATGAAGGGCTGCTGAGATCCACGGCTGTTTCATTACTGTGCGAAAGTGTTGAGTCAGTTTGGCAGCGAGCGCAGCCGATGCTCTTTCTCTCCGTGCAAAGTGTCTCTCTGTGTGTGTGTGTGTGTGTGTGTGTGTGAGTGTGTGTGTTTGAGATAGAGGATGATGGGAAGAGAGACAAAGAGGGAAGAGGTATGGAGATAGAAAGAGACAGAAGTGGAGAGAGAGAGACAGAGAGTGAGACAGATTGCCCCGCTGAAGACTCCTGGATATTTAGAACTGCTGAGGTATGCATCTCAGCCTCTCTAATTTTACTGTAGGGTTAAATTTCAAACCCTGGCTCCCATGTGGCACCGTGCATCCTCCTTTAAAGTTTGTCTCCCGCAGGATATACGGTTTGTGTGTATCTGTATTATGTGCCTGTTGTGTGTGTCATGTGTGCAAATTCCCTTGAGTGGAGCCTCTGTCCATCACTCCCCAGGCTATGGCCTATTTGAGGAATGTCCCGTTTGTATATGCTGACACAGTTCTGCACCCCTCCCTTCGCCTCTTGGTCCCCTCTTCTTCAAATACCCCCTCTCCTTTCTCTTTTCCTCATCTCTCCATCTCACTGACCTATTCCCCCTCCCCCTCAGTCCAGGCGGGTTAATGCTGACTGGTACAGTATATAATAAGATAGAAGATGAACGGACCTCGTCCGCGGTAAACATCCGCACTCGACAAATTCGCTTTTAACTCCATCACCCTCTTCATCATTCTCTTCATCACTTTCATCGGCCATGACCATGAGAGAACTACTACTATACAGCAGGGGTCATATTTCAAGAACACGCTCCATTTAGGCCGTGACGCCCTCGCTCTAAGTGCACAGATCTGCTTTGTGAGAGGATGTTATATATCAACAGAAATTACTGCCGTGCAGCTCGCCCAGACAGGCTACCAGGTCCAAAGCGGCGGCGCAGAAAATCACAGAAAGTCTGCACAAATTAGCACTTAGCTTGGCCTGCACACATCTCTTATAGTCCTGCAGGCCTTTGCTATTGAAAACCCAGCTGGTGCTAATTCAGGATTACTCAAGCGTGACCAACACTGTTAGCAGTTAGCTAAGACAGAGTCTGAAATTATTCAGGAATTATTCCTGAGCTGAGGTCTGGTCTCGCATTACCAGGGGCTGCAGCAAATGAGGCTTTAAATGGGAAACAGAGAGGCTGTTCTTACGAGATAAGCTAACTTTATCCAGATACGGTGCTGTATAATGAGAACATGACAAGAGTCACGTTAACTGATGCATATATATAATGCGCTTAAAGCACTTAACATGTCAGAACATCTGAGTGGTTTGACAGGTTGGGGCTCTGATCCTTTCTATTCTATTAAACAGCTTTTCTTAATTTTTTTCTAATCTTAACCTATAAAACCATACGCTGTCTGGATCACGCTCCTCACATTTAACAATAAAATGGGGGCTTTGTTCAGCATATAAATAACTTAACTTGGTAGAGCAGGCGAATACAAATACACAGAGCACTGCAGCAGCATTGAAAACTACAGGTACAGGTACTTAAATAAACGGAACAGGGTGCGACAATGAAAAAACACTGGCAAGGACGAAAAGCACAAGCCAGGGTACTGTAGAAGGAAAAGACATGCGAGACATGTTTGGGACACACTGAGGATTGCATTTATAGAGAAATCCTGCAGGTACACAATCAGTTGAACTGGATGTATAGGCACAATGTGACAATAGCTAAAAGAAACTTGCTTTACGTTATATACAGTCAATGCGTTAAGGCATGAAAGTGCTATAAAATGTCTAGTTGGTTACAAATTTGTGGAAAAACAAACTTTAATACAATTTAATGCCTTGGAGTCATGTTTGATTTTTATGGACATGATAAAAAGCGATACTCGAGACCTCACCTAGACTTCATCCAAAAACACATGGTCACAGGTTGGTATGACCCTGCATCAGGTTTTCAGAGTGTGAATACCTGGAAGTGCTTCTTACATCCCGATGTGAATAAGCATACACTGAATTGCTGTTTTATAATAAACACTGTGCATTCTGTGGTATGTAACAGGCTCTTTTATCTTGAAGGTCTGATACGCTCTCGTCTGAGTGCTGATATGAATGCGTATGGGTGCGCTGAGAGAGCGACACACAATCCCTTGCTGAGATGATCCCTCTGGTTTTGGTGAAGGGCAATGGCATAGATTCAGACCTCAGCTCTGCGCTCTTTGTGTCAACACTGCCGGTGAAACATGGCCACAGCTGATACAGCTAATGACACTAAGGGGGAGGGGCCAATGGAGGCTTAACCACACGCTGCAGAAAATTATGATTTTGATTTTACTGTCGCCTCAGTTTTTGTTTGTCACTGCTGGAAAAAAAATCATGAGGAGGGATGAGGGAAAAGCAACTAATAAACCTGAGAGAATCAAACCAACATGATTCAAATAAGCCATTTTAGTATCTGAACAAAAATAATATTCAAATGATCTAACAAAAAAAAAAAGTTTGATCAGATAAAGCAAATTAGGAACTTAAGTGCGTGCAACCAACTTGTGTATTGTAAAATTGATTGCAATGGGAATTCATGTAATTACTGGCAATCATGATTCCTTAATAAAGCCCATAACTTGTGCAGTGAACATCATCGCATACAAAGTTTTAAGGTATTTATGGATTAGATGCAAATCTT